TATCTGGTCTGGTGCAAAATTGTGGGCGTTGGGAGGTTAATTTGGGGATTTGAGTCCGGCTTGGTCTGTTGTTATCTGGATTTTTGATTTTTCGGTATATCGTTTGTCTACTTATTGTTATTCGTCTTGCAGTGCATGAATCTTGTAGGAAAGCGCAGGAATTTTATCTAACATTTGAGCTGGTGTTTGAGTTTCAGAAAGCAGGTAATTGAGTTTCCGTTATGATGATTTTTGCTTGGAATTTTTTTGGCTTCAATGGTTTCGGCGAATGTAATATCGGTTAATTCCCTCATAACAGGGTTGTCTAAAGTGCGACAAATTTTTGATGCGTTTTAATAATTTAGGTAAAATTAAAAACTTTATGTTGAATCTTTTTTTAGGACAAGGTTTTCTAGGAAAGCTTCCCACCAAGAGGCATCTACCGCTTCCCACCAAAAGGCATCTACCACTTTGTTTTTCACTTCGATGCGTCGAAGATTCCCGTCAACAAAGTTTCCCACCAACAGGCATCTACTGAAGTGTTTTCCACTTCGGTACGAAGAAGATACGTAGATCACCAAATACGGCCTTTAATTAAAAGTGGGTAATGCCGAGGTCAAAATTGAAAAACATGACAAAATTGTGGGCATAATTGCTGCATGGTTTTGTACACTAAGACAGGGGCGGATCTAGGATTTTCTCGAGGGGATGGCGGATTTTGAAAAAAAAACGGCCAAAAAAGCGTTTTTAGCACTTTTTTTTTGAAAACTCTGACCAAAAATCCCATTTTTTGGCGCGCGCTCTCCCAAAATTAATATATATTGGCGCCTTTAGAAAAATTTTAGGGTCCGTCATCCAATAAGGGAGATCTCATAATAGTACAAAGGGGGGGACCCTGTGGGTCGGCAGGGGGTCGAATTCCTGAGGGGGGGGGGGGGGCGTCCTCCCCTCAGGGTCGGCAGGTGGTCGAATCCCTGATGGGAGGGGGGGGGGGTGGTTTGGCGTCCACCTCTCCTCCCTAAATCCGCCCCTGCCCTAACATAAGCAACGGTATGGCACTTTTTTTGAAATGAAAACTCTGACCAAAAATCCCATTTTTTGGCGCGCGCTCTCCCAAAATTAATATATATTGGCGCCTTTAGAAAAATTTTAGGGTCCGTCATCCAATAAGGGAGATCTCATAATAGTACAAAGGGGGGGGGACCCTGTGGGTCGGCAGGGGGTCGAATTCCTGAGGGGGGGCGTCCTCCCCCCAGGGTCCGCAGGTGGTCGAATCCCTGATGGGAGGGGGGTGGTTTGGCGTCCGCCCCTCCTCCCTAAATCCGCCCCTGCCCTAACATAAGCAACGGTATGGCACTTTTTTTGAAAACTCAGGGTCGGCAGGTGGTCGAATCCCTGATGGGGGGTGGTTTGGCGTCCGCCCTTGTCCTAACATAAGCAACGGTATGGCAATCGGGTACTAGTTCTTTTCCCGTAAATAATTTTGTTCATAGGATCTCCATTTTTAGAAGATATCCAATTCCAACCTAGTTGCACTTTAACAGCTCTAGTTCAGGGTCTAGAGTTAGTGTGTCTAGACTAAACTAGTTACTGAGGCTACAGCTGAAAAAAGCAGTTCAATTGTAATTTGATGGTTTTGTAGGCTTAATTGGTTTCGTCCTAACTTTTGTCGGTTTATTGGTCGAGTGTTTTTTTTTCCAAGTAATATTGTATTCAACTAGTTTTTTTTAAAATCATTTTCGAAGAACGTTACGACGAATCATGGATTTTTTTGTTGTCAAACACGCTAAAATTTTTAGAAAAGAAAAACTTTGATTGTTTGATTTTTGCGTTTTTAATGCGTGGTTTCTGAATTTTTTTGTTCTTTGTGTGCATGTAGCTCAAAGCAACTTGGCGTCATAACTACTTCTATACAACCTCTCATTCAAGTTGATGGTACAAACAGTGTATTGTTCCAATGAAAAAGAATATATTTCTTCAAATTAAATTCGTTTTACTAAAAGTTTTGTTTTGCAATTTTGATTTGATTAGTTTGTCTACGAAAATTAGGCAGATGCTGCGCGATATTCAATATTGTGGTTGTTTCTGGCTGAATTGTTTTGAAAAAATTGAGTATTAAGGTTGTTCTATTCCACTTGCGTCTTTTTTGAGAAATTTGGTATCTTTTGGTTATGGTTCAGCTCTCTTAGCGTTGCTAGGGATTTTCGTATTTGACAAGATTGATGTAATCGGGTAAACTTCTTAGTCTTTTGGGGTTTAATAGGTTTTCTGCAAATTCTTGTGGGGATTGTTTTATGAATTTCTTATGTTGTTTTGCGCATTTTGATCTTTCTTTATAGCAAGCAATCGAAAGTGACTTTTGGTATCCTTGTATGTTATTGACAGACATGCAGTTTTTTAATATTGTGATTTTTTAGTTCTGCATGTTTTTGATACCTTTTGGCTCTGTTTTTTTGTTCAGTTATTGCACATTTCTCAATAAAGACTTTGATCAAGCGTTATCAAATCGGATTATAGACTTTCCAATTAACAACTTGTTTAATAGAATCACTTAAATCTCTTACCCAGGTTCATATCGAATTCAGTTTTCTACGCGTGTCCCTCACTTAGCCTGTTGGTGAAGAATACGCCTGGGACGGCAAACGTCGTGGGTCCGAATCTGACCAGGAACTGTTGTTTTTTTAACTGGAAATATTCTTTTCTAAAAAATGTCGGCCTATACTTTGTCTGCTTATGTCGGCTGAGTTGTCACATCGTAAAATTGATTTTTTTTGTACGCAATTTTCAAGGTAGTTGCTTTTAGTGTTCTGAATTACTCCTTTAATTTTTAATTTTTTTAGCCTTGGCTTTGCTCGTATATTTTGCTGTTTTTGTTTTCGCTCAAAAACTTGATTCGTCTTGAATGATTTCGACTTTTTATAGGCTCAATGACCTAGTCTGTGTTTATTCATGGGAATCATAAGTTTTATGCTTCATTACTGATTGCACAAAGTGGTAAAATAATTAGAATAGAAATTGAAATTCAAAGATTTTCATGAGAACAATTATATTTTCGGTTCGATGGGAAATTTTTGAAGTTTCGTCGCCTCAGTTTTTTTTTTGGAGTTAGTGGTTTTCTTCTTCTGTCTGCTAGCTTGCACAGCTGATTTAATGTTGTATCGCAAGTGATGCAAAGCGGTCGTCTAATTTGCTTGTCTAGTTTCCCAAAACCCCTTTTTGTACAGCAAACATATCTTTATAGGTACAGTGATCTTCGTGTAATCTAAGTGTAAGTGGGTTCTGAATTTTGTCCTATCATTTTCATCATTTTATTTGTTCTCATTATTTCATGCGATAGTAAGTGGCGTTCAAATGGGTGCTAATCGTACTATCTGTCAATAATCAGCGATAATTTTCAGCACATATTTTTTTATCACGTCATCTCGATTGATCTGGTTGTTCCGACCATTTAAAATGGGGAGAAACTTTAAATTCGGGTGTTTTGGTGTTTTTTTATTAAATTTTTGTTTTTCCGGCCAAATTAGGTACACATAATCATCGGAGTGAGTCGGGCATCTTATTAAAAGCCTTTCAGTCGTGATTCGAACGTAATTTTAAAAAGTTCCTCAAAATTTTTCCAGTGTCGAGAAGAACCTGCTTGAAATTATTGATTTTTTGTCTAATTTTGAGCGAGTAAAGCCAGCGAGTATGCTTTCAATATCTTATTTATGCTTAATTTATGCCGTAAAATCTTAGTTTTACATGAGTTAAATTAGTTTTACACGAGTGTTTTTTGCCGCTAGTTTGGAAATCAAAAACAGCAAAGTTTTTGTTCCGACCATTGAAAATAGGAATGAACTTTGTTTTTTGGTGTGTTTTGGTTTTTTCCTCTTCCAAAATCAGGTGCCACAAATAATCATCGAACTGGATTGAGTGATATATCATATTAAAGCCCTTTCAGTCGTGAGTCGAACGATATCCAAAATTCTTTTAAAAACTTTTCCATTGTCGCGAAAAACTGGTTAGAATTTTTTGTCTAATTTCGACCGAATAAAAGGACGATAACTTGCCCAATTCGTCATTTAGGCTTAAAAACGAATTAGTTATCAAACTAGTTTTGAAACGAGTTTTGAAAGCTTTATTTGGCACTTTCCTGGCAAGAAATATATATTTTAAAAAAATATTGCAAAAATTAGAAAAAGATTATTGCACAGTAACCGCTATCCTTGTTTATGAAATGCTTATGTTAGAAAAATTCTCTTGGGCTTAGTGTCGTCCTAATGTTTTCCTCGTCAAATGTTTTCCTTTGCATGCTGGTTTTAGTTGCAGCAAAGGTATCTGCTCGCTGTTTATTTAAAAGGTGTAGGTCCAATGCATTAATTCGACCTTTTCCAAGCATTTATTGAGACTATTGAAGTTTTGGAAATACTATAGTGTGGTATGGTATCCCTGGTTTTAATAATATTCAGTTATACGGAATCTAATTTGGATATAATCTTCTTAACGATAATTGATTGGCCGTGCAAAAGTATTGTTCACAACTTTGAAGATGAAGTTGTCAAAACGGCCCAATAAGCTGTCTTTTTTTATCTGCAGCGTTTTCTATCTTTTTTTCGCGTTCGACTTTGCTGCCTTTGATATTGTCGCTACTGATCTGAAGCTTTGCTTCGTCTCTGGTAACATTTATTCCGCAAATTTTTGGGTGTGAAGCACATTAATATAAGGAACTATCCGACTGTAAGTTTCGAACGTTTTGAAATAAAAAAAAAATGGCTTTCGTATGAATTACGAATAGTTCTGATGCCGAATAGTTTTGTTTTCGTAATTGAATGCCAACTAGTTTAAAGGTATTTTTGTGATTGTCTATTCAAAGAATGAGAATAATAAAATGAGTGTTTAGGTTATTGCGCAAAATTTGTGCCAAAGCGAAGTATAATTAACTTGAATAAGAAATTCTTTTTTGTTTGTCTTGTAAAGTTTAGAATTTGCGAACACTTTTAAAGAATTGCTCTGCATATTGTAGTTTTTTCTTTTTCAGAGTGAATGGAACCTTCAATAGAACAGAGTCTGGATCCGTCATGTTTTTGGTGAAAACCTTAAAGCTTTGCGAAAATTTGAGCGCCAATCTTATAGCTGTTTTGAATGGGCTATACGTAGCAATAGCGTCCGAATCAGATTTACTTATCTGGCCAATTGATGCTCTGAATTACAATCCGAACCGGCTTAATGGCCATTCCAAAATAATCACTGGGTTGACTTTTGGGGTCGGCAGTGATGATGAAAGTGTTGTTTTGTGTAGTTCCGATGCTGATCAAATACTGATTTGGACTATTGGTATCGGGGGGTTTTCAGATGACAGTAAAGTCTTCAAACATAACTTCGGTGCCCATGAATGCATCAAATTGTGTCCGCGTGACAGTTATTTGGCAATTACAGCACAGAATGTTGTCCATGTTTTGGCACTCAAATGTAAATCGAAAGAAAGTGCTACCATTACTTTGGATGCCCATACATCGCCTGTAATCATGGTCGAATTTTCCTACTTCTCGATTGATCTACTTATTACATGTTCGGCCGATAAAACTTATGCCGCCTGGAATTACAACACGGGAGCCCTAATGTACCAAAGTAGCATCAATGTTTTCGGCATGTATACATGCGTAGCTATGGACCCGATAACAGATAGATACGCTGTGGGAACTTCTAATGGATTAGTTTCAATTGTACATGCTCCAAACTTTTCTGAACCACAGGTTATAGACGTGAACAAAAACTCTCTCAGGCGTAACCATAGTTCGGAATCTCCGCGACAAACCTCAGAAGGAGAACTTATTTCCATGTTTTTCACTATGAAACCAACTATGCCGAGTAGTGATGCGTATGCGTTTCAAAATCGACCAGGTCTCGTGACTTCTGGTGTGCGAATTGGAAGGAAATCTCCCACGAAAGAGCTTCTAGAGTGGCCCTCTCTGTTGGTGCTTGGATTTTCAACAAATGTTGTACTGTTACATTCTTGGACATTTGAAAAGCTGTTTCATTTCGACTTCACCGAATCTCTAATTTGTCATTTTGACGATCCGAGAAAGAAGTCACAAGTTAGTTCTGGTAAGTTAAAAAAAAAACGTTCTTGTTATTATTGTACTGGAAATAATCATACTGATTGCTTGAAGGTGTTGTTATAATGCCTAGTCCAAAAAAGCGCAGAATATTGAACAAGGGTCGTAACAGAGGCTCTTCGTTGAGATTTGGACAGCTAGTATCTAAGATCTTGTGGCTGAATATTTTTTGAAGGCGGAAATTTCTATCTCGAAAGATCTTCGGGAATTATACTTTTTCTCCGTAAACAACTTTTCTTACAAATCCTACTTGCTTTTCTTACTTGCTTTATTATTGAAGCTGAAGAATTTGAATGTTGCTCACTTGGCCTAGAGGTAACGCCGTTGCCTTTGCACCATAAGGTTAGGCTTCAACTCCTAGCAGGACCTTGATTTTTCGTATTCGTATTATTAAATACGAATCGTTTTCGTATTATTAAATAAATTTTTTTGTTTATCATTATGATTGTTATTAATTTTCTTCGGCTCCACTTATGTCTGCTCAAAAATTGTCGGCTTTATTTCCTCTTCGTCTCCACTTGTGTCTGCTCAAAATTTGTCTGCTTTATTTCTTCTTCATAAGTTTCGTTCTGTTGCGTATTACCTATGCGATAAGCAAGGGTATTGCAATCGGGTCCTAGACTTTTTTCCGGTACATAACTTTGTTCATAGAATGGTCAAATGTAGAAATGGTAAACTTAAGTTCAGTTCTGCATACGTTCAAATTTTTCTGCGTCTTTGGCGTACGTGTTCTGGAGCTAATTAATATGCCTGGGATGGCAAAGGTCTTGGGTTCGAATTTGACAGGACCTGTTTTTGTTTTCAATCGGAAAATATTGCGTTTCAAAAAAACTTGCCTTGTCGATTTGTTATTTGTCTGCTCATAATTTGTTGGCTTAGTTGCCACATCGTAAATTCGTTTTTTAACTGCACGCAAGTTAAATCGTAGTTGATTTCACTAGTTTTATTAACTTCTGCCGTTAGTATGTTGACTAACTTAGACTTCGTATATTTCTTGTGTGTTTGTTTTTTTGCTAAAAAACTGTGTTCTGCCAAAATTATTTCGTCTTTTGTTTTTTTTAGGCTTAGTAACCTACTTTTGAGTCATTTCCAGAGCAACACAATTTTTTTGCTTCACTGGCTTGCGCAAAATGCTCAAAATCTTAATGGAAGTCATAGTTTTTCATGGCAAGAATATTTTGTCATTTTTTCATTTCCGCTGGATAGGTTTCGGCCTATATTAAATCGGCTGAATAGCCTCATTTGCCTCGAGCGAAAAAAGTTTGTATGTGCGTGTGTATTTGTTTTAAGGATGAAGGGGAGTTTTTTTTCTTCCTTTTTTGGCCTAATAGGTTTCGTCCTATGTTATATTCGGCCTAGTGGCTTCATATTGTTTCCTTTGTTGAACAAAGAATACTTCTTATTTGTATTTTGTGGGCGAGGGGAACTTTTTTTTCGGCTTAAAAAAGTGCCCTTTAAGCCGAAAAAAAAAGTTCCCCTCGCCCACAAAATACAAATAAGAAGTATTCTTTGTTCAACAAAGGAAACAATATGAAGCCACTAGGCCGAATATAACATAGGACGAAACCTATAAGGCCAAAAAAGGAAGAAAAAAAACGAAAAAAAATTTCCCCTTCATCCTTAAAACATTTTTTGGCTTGTCACCGCTTGTTAAGTTCCTTCCGATGCTTACTTCACAAATATATTGTCCTAACATGTTTTTGTTTCAAAACTAGGCTTATTCATTTTGATAGATCTACGTTTTGGTATTTCTACTCTTGCGATAAGCAAGGGTATTGCAATCGTGTACTAGAATTTTTACCGTAAATAACTTCAGGCACAAGACTCGCTCTTCATCTGGATTTATTTCCTGGAAGTCTCTATTAGCAACAGATTTACCACTATCAATTAATTTTGCTGCATGTTAGCTTTTCAAATATCTGTTCTAAACGAATTTACTTTTTTACGTCGGCTTTGAAATTTTTTAAATTTCATTTTTTTTGTTTCTTTTTTCATTCTTTTTCTTTTTTTTTCGGCTTGTTAGATTTCGGATTTAATTATATCGGCTTAGTGGACTCACATCGCGGTAAACCATTCAGCGAGCAGTTTTTTTCTCTATGTGTTTTGAGGGTGAGGGGGACTTGATAACTTTTTACTGTTGAATCTTAGTCTTGAATTTTTTTTTCGTTTTTTTTTTTCGATTTAATTGGCTTCGGACTATATTTAATCAGCACAGAGGCCTCATTTTGGGCGTTCGACGAGCGAAAAAGTGGTCTTTGTGTGTTTTTTGAGGGTGAGGGAGACTCCATACATTTTTTGTATTTTTTTCGCCTTTAAGGGTTTCTGCTTTCGGCATTGTTTCCGCTTGATTAATTTTCTTTCGATGCTTTTTTCTCTTCTATTGTCTTGGCACGTTTTTGTTTCAAGACTAGGCTATTTCATTTGGATAGATCTAGTTTTTTGACATTTTCGATTTCGACGTAGCCGCTTCACTGTTTTGTATCGCAAGTGGTGCGAAGATCAGCTTCGCCTGTGTTATTTTTTTCGAATTATCGGCTTGCTTGTTTTGTAATACATGTGGCGCGAAGCTCAGCTTGCCTCTGTTTATTATTCAATTGTCAGGCACAGTTTTTCCCAGTAGCGTAATCGCTCATGTTTTAGCTTGTGTATGCGAAGTGCAACTTCGCCTCTGTGTTCATGTTTGTGTTGTATCGCAAGTGATGCGAATTTCCGCTTCGCCTCTATATTAACTGGTGTCTTTGTGTTTTAGCGTTCAGTTTCTGCTTCATGGACATGGAAGATTCCCTCGAGTTGTGGTGCATGGTAAATGAAATGACGTCAAGTTTCAACGGAGTCCATCTGCTAATGATGAGTCATCCCTTTGCTCAAAACAGTTTATTGGATTCTGAAAATGCCGCGGAAAGTGATTTTGCGGGGCTGTCTGTGGTCGCAACCACTGCCCCTCTGTATACTTCGCCTCTGAAACCTAAAGTGTGCAGGAAGCCAACTGTCATGGCTGCGAGGTATGCATTTTATTCTTTGGTCAAGGATTGGAACCGCTCTTAAACGACTGAAATATTGTTTTTTTTTAAAAAATGGCTATGATTTTTTTTCTCTGAATGAAGTGTGATCGCGCTTATTTAGTGTCTGGTTTGCCGTTTTGCATTTGTAAAATGATAAAATATAAGCAAAGAGAAAAAAATAGAGTTTTTAACTCGAGAATTTCTCGGTGTCGTTAATACCCTTCATTTATCCTTAGAGCCAATATGTCAAAGGCAGCAAAAGGTAGCAAGACTTCAAAAACTGCTCTGAGAAATGCTAATGCAAATAAACCAGTGACTTTCAAAGAGAAGATCAAATCATCAGGTTATGGAACTCAAGCCCCTCCGAGGAAGATGTTCACGCCTAAGACCGATTTCAAGTCATCGTCAGCCAACGTTGCAATGCGATCTCTACATAATGGTACGTCAGATAGAATATCTTATACAGAGACGGATCTAGGTTTTTTGACATAAGGTCGACACATTTTTCCAGAGCAGCCGTGGGAGAATGGGTTAGGCTCACGTGTCAAACGAGGGTCATGCCTTCGAATCCCACTTCGGCAGGGATGGGTGATATATATCAAGTGATAAATATCATGATAAATATCATGATATATATCATGATATTTTTGACAAAAAAATCCATAAATATCAGCTGTATCATGAAATCAGGTAAATTTGACATGCCTCTTGCCTAATATTCCCATCAAAAGAACCGCGGATTTTCTTTGTTCTCGTTTACCGCCAAATTTGTTCAGTGATTTGTCTGGCAATTCAGTCTGGGTTTTTGCCGCGTTTTTTCTTCAACTTGTCATCTTCCAATTATCAACGCTGTTATACAGTTGACTGCTTTATATTTCAGATTTTGATCTTGAGTTTTAAAATGCCTGGTAGAAACCGGAAAGATGTTTGGGACAACTTTCGTCGAACGAAAAAAGAAGGCAATACCGGAGTATGGGCAATTTGCAAATGCTGCAACATCGGTATGCAAGGCATTCCAGCGAGGCTGGAAAAACACTTGGAAAAGTGTGTTAGTGACAGGGACATAGAAGTCCCGGTGCCAAAGCAGCTCAAAAAGGACGACTCTTTGAGTTCAGTTGTTTCTGTTACTGTTTCTGGGACTTTGCCAAACGAGAAGCAATTGCAGCTGAGCAAGCGCCGTGAGATGTGCCTGACAGATTTCCACAAACTGGCATTCTTGCTCGACCCTCGCTATTTAAACACTAATGTGTTGGATGCTGCCGAGCAAGAAAGTGCTTTGCAGAAGGCGTTCGAGCTTCATCCTGATTTAGTCGCTGTCATCGCACAATTCCGTGCAAAAGCTTCACCATTTATCAAGTCGTATTACGAGGTTGCGCAGCAAATTAATCCTCACGATTGGTGGTCACTTGCCGCTGACATTCCGCAGAGTGTGAAGGATATAATCATTGGGCTTTTGTCATGCAGCCCTTCTACGGCGTCGCTTGAGCGACTATTCTCAAGTTACGGGTGGATACATAGCGAAATCCGAAATCGTCTTGGAAACGAAAAAGCTGCAAAACTGTTGTTCATATTTAAAGTTTTGAATAATGCTTGAACAACAGAACGTCCAATTCAAGTTCATTTGCAAACTACAGTTTTTAAATAGTTTTCAAGTGTTCCTATAGGCTGAGTATTTGTTCCCCAACTGTTCCCCGAGAATATCAAAAATATCGTGATATATATCAAAAATATCGGATTGATATGATATTTTTAAAAATATCAGATATCACCCCATCCCTGCACTTCGGTCACGGTTGGAGGGGTGCCAGTGTCATCCGCCTCCTCAAGTTGGGACCGGCGGCGGCGAAATGGATGACATCTCCCTCCCCTATGGTTGGTCCTGCACTGAGCAGGACGGGGGGCTAAAAAACGTATTTTCCAAAATTTTGGTCGACCTTTTTTTTAAAAGAATAAAAAGGGCAACAATCAGAGCCGGATCTAGGATTTTCTCGAAGTTCAAAAATGCCGTTTTTGCCCGCGAAAAAAAAAGAAAAAAGAATACCGCTCCCCTTCAAAATTAGAATGTATTGCCGAAAATTCATATCATGCAATAATTCAAAAAAGGATCTTTTAGTTGGCGAGGATGTCGAATACCTGAAGGGGCCACTTCTACCCTAACTCCCCCCATGCAACAATAATGCCGTTTTCGCTTCTTTGCTTCCCTTCAAAATTAGGCGCCTTAAAAAAATTTAGCGTTGGTCAAATTGATGTCGTAAAATAGTATCAAAGGGGGTCCCTTTGGGTGGTAAGAGGGTCAAATCATCTAGGGAGAGGCGTCTTCTCACTTCTCAAATCAGCCCCTGATCTTGTAGGTCTCAATTTTGATTCAGTTTTTCAGTCTTTGCCCTTGCGATAGCAAGTTTTTTAAAACCGGGTGCCAGACTTTTCCGGCTAACAAATTATTTGTACAGACAGTTGTACTACGACCTTGTAATAATCTTTTTGTGATGCTACTTTTTTAAAATAAAAATGGAGCAATAGGTGATGGGACTTACGGGAAATTTAAATTTCAAAATGCTTGGTTGCTTAATTTTTTATATAATTTTTTATTCAGCTCAACAGGCGCTTTCGCAAACATTGTCGGCTTAATTACCGCTCAGTCATTTTCATTTTAATGATCATACATTTAATGCTGGCAATAGATTTTTTGACATATTTTTGTTTAAAAACATCATTCGAGACATTTTAATAGATCTCGAAGTTTCGGAAATATCAAAATGGATGAGTTGTACGTTTTACGGAGATATCAAAATGGATTGAGGCGAATACAATGATACTGAATATTTTGATGTATGGCTCTTCAAATAAAACCATGTTAAATAATCTACAACGTCAGCAGAAAATTTTGTTGCTAGCTTTTTTGGGCATAAAAATATGAAGAAGTAAGAAATATGAGACGAAACGAAACAACTGGTTCTTTGTTTGAGCTAATTGTATATGAGGTTCTAGAACTTCTAAGTAAAATTATAAGATCTGAACATTGCAGTGAGACAATTAACTACTTCATTGAAAAAATTTGAGTAATTGATTTTTTAGGAGAAGAGACATGACTCAATTGTCTCCTAACAATGCAACAATTGAGTATGAGTATAAGTTTAAAAAAATGATTATCTGCACTGTACGTACACGTGTAAACTATTCAACGTTCTGGCTAAAATTGACACGAAAGTATAGATATAAATTGTATTTTTCAATCCCTTTTTTGGTTTCTATAAAATGATCAAATGTTCATATAACTTCAAAGTATCGGAAGGTCAATTTTCACAATCAAATAAATTTTGACAACTTTATGCTTCTCAAGAATTGGAAAGTTTGTTCGAGTCATTTAAACTGGCTGGATAGCCTTCAGTGCCCGCTCAAGGTCTTATTGTTCAAATGGTAATTTTTTATGCATTTTGTAGCGTGCATAGCTTGAAAACAAATTTATATATTTATATATTAGATCTAGATTTTTCAAAAATTTGTTTCGGCTGTTGTCTCTTTTCTGGCGGCTAGCCTGCCATGTGTGAATTATTGCAAGTGACGCGAAGCTCGGTTTGCTTGTGTTAAATTTGCAGTAGCAATGTTTTTCAAATCTGTTGCTCTTAAATTGCCAAAGTTTTTCTTACACAAATAAAGGTTGAGAGATGTCTAAAAGTTTCGAGGTTTTGAACTTGAAATTTGATTAGATGGTTCCAAAAAGCCGCAGTTTTCTCTGATCGACGACCGGAAATACCCCAGTGATGCAGAGCCGCCTGTCCAGGAAAAAGCTGCCATAGACGCCGATTCTACTCTGAAGAAACCAATTACGCAAATCCGGTTTTCACCAAATGGCAAGATGCTGGTTGCTTCTTCCGCAAACAATATTGCACATGTTTTTCAAATGCCCCTTGGAGGTAAACTGATTATTTTTGTTCATTACAAAGTTCTCATTATAAGAGATTACCAATAGAATAAAATATGTTCAATCCCCAGACTTTCGGAATTCTGAAATTAGTATGGAAAAAACATCAATTTCGAACGGAAAGCTATTAAGAAAACGTAGAATAAACTTGGGCTATTTTTAGGCAGAAGCAGTGCATTGAAAGGTCACAATGGACCTGTAAAGGTAGCTACTTGGTCCGTGGACTCTTCTAGAATAGTCACTGCCAGTGACGACAAAACGGTCCGCATCTGGAATTCAACGGGGGATAGAGAATTGTGCCTTTGTATTGACTCGCATGGCTCAACTCAGAAACCCGAGAAAAAATTCGAGAAAGAGATCTCGTGGAGCTCTTTTTACTATAACGATGGCCTGGTACTTCTGACAAGTGGGTATTCGCTTTATGCATACTCGTATCACATTGATATGTCCAAAACGAGTGACATTAAGACTTACGATTACAAGTGCAGATATTCGAAGGTTCACCAAGTCGATTTCACAGACTGCGCATCTATTACAAGTGCTTCTGCAATTAATTCTTTCCTGAGTCACTATGTTTTTGTTGCTACATCTGCTAAGAATTTGTACATATATGACATGAATAGATGCAGCATCTTGAGGACTTTTGACTCTTGCCAAGAGCGACCTGTACATTGTATAAGACATAATGAGGGATCCCTATACAGTAGGCTAGATGAGTCTTCGGTTAGTTCGGAGTCGTACAATATTTTTGCGACATCGGCTGTTTGCGACGGGATTAAACTGTGGGATGTGCGGCAGAAGTTGTGTGTGCGCAAGTTTGACAATCACTACAATAAGTTCTACCACTGTGGGTTTGATTGGAGCCCATGTGGCAAATACATTGCTTCTTCTTCTGAAGACAGGTAAACATTAAACTGTTTTGTTTTCCTCAATTTTTTGTCTCAATTCTTTTTAAGAGTAATGAACGTAGTGAAGACTCTTGTATAGGTCTTGCTGACTTTTTTTCTACGAAAAATATTGATGCACTTAGGTCTAATGGACTTTTTGAGCTCAGTTGATATTCATCTGCTGAAAGTGATGTAAATAGCACTCTCCAAATACGAACGTGGAAATGGCGCGAAAAAAAACGTGACGATTTCTAGTTTCGAAAGTGGAATTTATTTTTAAGATTTCCCAGCGGAATAAAAACTTTACCTGTTGATCCAGTTTTCTCAAGTTGGGTCCAGGTTATCAAAAAAAGCGCCAATCATAATTTGTTCTAGAAATTCAAAGAGCTTAAATGCATCTATTTTTTTCTTTGAAATTCGGAAGTTGAGATTTTTATGTTTTATTTGCGTTCATTACTATTTTCCCATCTTCGATTGGCTATGTTGTAAGAGCATCTGTCGAATCGAAACTTTGTCTATTTGATTCTGACAAAATAGAGCTATTTTTTACCGAATTGCCCTTTTCCAAATAAGAAAGGGTTCTTTTTTCTACCAAAACCTTTGAGCGGCATTTTACGTTTATTTGCAGGATAAAAAGGTGATTTTTTTTTCATGTGACGTTCGCGTTTTTAAAGAACTTTGATCGTTCAGATGTGGATATCTGTACGACGTCACTGCCAGTGCGTATCTGCACAAGTACACGAGACTGTCCGACATCGGAACATCCGTCTCCTTCCACCCTCTCTACCCCGAAGTAGCTTTCTCATTCAACGACGGAAGAATACACCTCTTCTCATCACGGCAAAACAAACCACCTGATTCTCGGAAAGGAGGAATGAAATCAGCCACTACCACTAATGTAATCAGGGTTCACAATAGAAACAGGCCATCGGAAGGTGGGAGTAAATTTAGAGAAAATGCTGTGAGTGATGTTGTTAGAGGTCAAGGGTCAGGTGACCGAACAGAAGTACCGGAATATTCCAGAAGTTCGGCTGTCAAAGAGTTACTTTGAGTGATTTATCTGCGAAATACATATCTTTTGCTTTACATATCTGCTTGCAAGACGACCTTGCTATTCTACTGTGGATCATATTATGTGAAGGTTCTCTTCTCTTGTAGAATTGCTATTGCCTTAAAGGTTTCTCTTTTTTTTCCTGTAGGTTACTGGCAATAAATTCAATTCTATGTGTGCAATTCGATGTAAATATGTAATATGGTATGGGGTGTACATAGATATATTTTTTAAATCAACATGATTTCTTACGGTAAAAATAGCTTCGTTTGCTCTACTTTTTTCAATTTCCTGCTTATTAGTTAGTACGAGGTGTCTCATGTGTTGAAAGCCACCCAATTAATCAAGAAAAATAAAGAAGAAATATTTGAAATTAGTTAGATGTCATTGCTCAAAGACTATCAATTTTAATTTGCGAGACAGCAGAAAAATTATGCAGATGTAGAAAAATCGAAGGGATTGTTGAAAGCTCAGGATGAAAGTAGCTGTGAACTAGTTTAGCGCTGTTATTGAAAATTTTTCTCTTAGTGTGCATTTTTCGTTTTTTAAGGGCCACAATCTTTTTAAAGGTCCAGTTTAAATAATTATTTATTAGGCTGGTGATAAGCAAGCGCTATCAAATTGGAACACAGGACTTTTTTTCAGGTTAGCTACTAAATTACCGAAATCACTGAATCATTTCGCCAACATATTAACACATTGAGCATGTATGCATTTCAAATTCCCGTTTTATTTGATAAGTTTATTTTGGTTGTAAAGCTCAAATAAGTTTATATTGGTTGTAAAGCAACTTTGATTTTTTAAAATTACCATTTTATTCTTGTGTAGCGCTTTGTTTTTTTTCGGCTTAGAAGATTTTGGACTGTCTTGTATTGGCTTAGTCGCCTCATATGATGTCGTTTGAAGAGTGATAATAATTTTTCATTGGGGGTATATGAAACGCATTTTTGAAATTCCTGTTTGATAAAAATAGGTGCAATGAAAATGTATGTGATCGGTTTTTTTATTTATTCTATTTTTTTGAGACGCTTTGAAAAATTTTCACTTTTCTCAAAAATTTTAGTTTTCCGCAAAAACGACTCTACCGATTTTCGAAAAAGAGGTAACAATGGAAAGTTTGCCTACTTCCTTGTGTGCCTGCATAATCCCCGAGTTTCTTTTTACCTTGCTTCGTTTTCTACAGCCTTCAAAAAAGTCTGTGGCGGAATTTTTTACCGCTATTTTTGGTTTTTCCTTTTCTCGAAAACTGACCACCCATATCTGACATTTTTGTTTCATTGCATAGAACGGGTTGTGGGAAGCTCCCCTGTAGAAGCGGCTAAGCGAAAAAAATAACAAAAAAGTCCTCTCCCTCGGAAAAGTCAAAGTTTTGGATCGGTTTTTGAAATTTTTTGGCTTTTATTAGAAACTACCCTGTAAAATCTGAGCTTTTAATTTCAATCGACAGAACGGGATGTGAGAAGTTTCTTTGCACTACATAAACGGCAAGCCCCATTTTTTTAACACAAAAACTTATAGCCATCGGAAAAACCAAATTTTCGACTTTTATTGTTTTTTTGAAACTTTTTGAATCTTTATTGTAAGCTACCCTAACAAATCGGAGATTTTGATTTCGATCGAAAGGAAAAGATGTGAGAAGCTCCCGTGCCTGAGCGACTGCACTCAATTGTTTTACACTAAAAGTTATCGCCTTTGGAACAATAATGTTTTTGATTTTTTGACAGTTTATAGAAACTTTGACTTGTCTTGAAAACTACCCTTGAAAACTACCCTCGACTTTTTTTTTTATTTTTGACTTTTCTCGAAAAAGACCCTCCCAAAGTGAATTTTTGGGTTCAAGCGAAACAAAAGGCTAAGAAAAATTCCCCTGTACAAACAGCTGCGTCCAATTTTTCTTACAAGAAAATAAAGGGCCTCAGAAAAGTCAAAGATTTCCTGTCCGTTTTTGAAACTTTGTTTTTTTTTTCGAAAACGACCCACCCGAGTCTGATATCAAGGGTGTAATTGAGCAAGAGGTTATAGGAAGCCTCCCTGCTTAAGCTGCTATGCCCTTAAAATGTTAAGAACAGTGTTTTGTTATTCGAAATTGTCAAAAATTTCTTTCTTTTTGATTAAGGTTTTATGTGAAGCCCTATTTTGGAAATAACTCATTTCATCCCGAATCAGTAGAACAAATTCCAAAAATATCAAACAGGTACATCCAGTTTTAGATTGACCCCTAGTTTTTAGTAGCTCTAAATTTATATGAAGAAGGTCATTTTATTTAGCTCATCAGTTTTCTACCCAATTTTTGTCGGCTTAGTTACAATTCATAATTTTGTTTTTAAGCTAATTTACTGCTGATAGTAGTCTATTTTGGCATGGTTTTCCTCAAAGCTTATTTTATTTGAGACAATTATATGATTGTTTTGCTAGTTCTAGCTTTCGGTATGCTGCCGAACATTTTTTTGAGTTCAAGCCTTTAGTGTTTCTGTGGGCTGGCTTTACATGCTAAGAATGTGAGATATATATATCGCAAGTAATGTGAAGCTCCTCGTCGACTGTGTACAAAGTTTTTCTGGTAGCATATTCGATGTGAAATCTAATACAGATTTTATAGTGTTTCAAAAATAAATACTTTAGAATGGACACTTGGGACAGGATACAACTGCTTAATGAACTCCAAATCGCTTGTTGAAAATAGCGACCAAACAAAAAATGAAAAAAGTCATTCCAGTTATACAAGGAAATACTACTGCTGGTCCATGTTTTTGAAATACGTTACTGACAAAAACTGGACCCAACGCTCTTGATAAGCTTCCTGCCGACGTTAGGAATCCCTGGTAGAGACCTTGAGAGCTTGAGGACTCGATGGTCTGAGAATAGAGACTGGTAGTAGTTACTATTCCTATAGGGTATGTCAAGCTGAGTGTACATGCACATAAGATAAATTGGAAGAACAGAATTTTGTGTTGTTCGCTGCACCATTGATAAACTTCCGAGTTGCATCCTATGATTTCATCGCTGTATGAATATTCCGAAGATGTGATACTGAATGAAAACCCCGAAGTGTCTCGCTTCACGCGAAAAGATTCTTCGGTCGAAGTAGCGATTGTAGTTTCAAAAGGCGCCTGAGTTGTAGTTGAATTTGACGTTGTGTTCGAATTGGCCAATTTTGGGTACTGACTGCTGAATGGGATTAGGAATATGAAGGCCACAGATAGGAAGAGAGTTGAAAATGCAAGTAGATGACGCTCTTTGAAGCGTGCTGTAAGTTTGCGAGTAGAAAGGTAGACAAGCGATGACATGATTGCGTTTGAAAATAGCACTACTCCATTGTAAAGCACCGTTTTGTTGTAGGTCCAGGCATATTCGGCTTGTACTAAAGGAGTCATAATAGTTTCGAAGAATGAGAAATCAAATAAGAAAGTGAACCATAAGACGTTGCACAGCACAACAGAAACGAAATTCTTGGACTTGAAAATTGAGGTGGCAACGGACGTGGAGATGGTTTCGTTCTCGTTGACCTTGAGACTCCCGATTTCCCTGAAGTTGATGTTGAATATGAATAGGTTGGCAACGTTTATTAAGGCAGCCATGAATGCGGGACAGGTGTACATGCTGATCTGCAGGCGAATTAGGTGGAAAGTGAATCCGTTATCGAGAGGTGTGAAGACTGTCTGGATTACTGGTCCGATCACAAAACCGAGTGCTTGAGTTCCTGAAAAAAGCAGATAGGATTTTTTTTTGTGATAATCGACACATCTTGATATTTTCAGGAACACCTTTTTAATGCATACCTGTTACCCAAGCCATTGTTACTGCTCTGTCTTCGTTAGAAGTAACTGCTGATGCGTAGGTCCTGATAAGAGTCATGTTGCCGGCACCAAACCCAAGTATAAACCGAGCCAGTAGCATCATATATCCTACGAAACGGCAACTTGAAGTTTTGGCGTCTTTTAGAAAAATGTAGTGTTTTTGGGTCTTTATCACCAAAAGAAAGCGGTAAAAAGTAGAAGACATACCTGCAAGAGTCTCAGGAAACAAAGTCAAGTAGGCATAGATCACATTGCCAGCAACCATGAGTGCAATTGTGAAAACGAAAAGAGGTCGGAAGGGTAACTTTTGAGACAGGAACCCCAGAGTCGGGGATGAAATGAGCTGCCCAATGCTATACATGGCAATGACCCATCCGTAGAGGGAGGTTGATGTCTCTGGGTAGAGACTGAGCAGGTAGGGGTAGGCAGAAGTCATCACTGAGGAGTATCCGATGGCACCCATGAGTGACGTCAGGTACAGGGTGTACCTAAAATTAGCAAATGGGCAGATGTTTGAGAATGTTCGCGCCATATTGGGTGTCTTGGTACTCACTAGTGCAGTCATTTTGCTTTTTATTCAGATAGACCTCTCCATAACATGTATTTTAGACAACGATTTTTTTTTTCGGCATGCCTAACTTTATCAGAGACTAAGATTGAACAAATAGCTTTACGATAGGCCATGGGAAAAGCATCTTCTAACATTTTTAACCGAACATATGATAACTTAATATTGAGTGAATGTGCTCACAGAGATCTTTTTGTTTCGACCGAAATTGATGCTAGTTTCTCATCAGTGAGGTCCACGTCCTCAGAACCAGCCTTAGACCTGTCATTCCTCGCAACAGACTCATTGGAGGTCATGTTGTTGTTAATATCATCTGCATTAGTCCCTAAATTAGGCAAACATATTTTATCATCGTGCAGTTTCGCTAGACTTCCCTAGTTTTTCTATTGAAGTTTGCCTGTGATTATATGCTACGAAGCACAAGTTTAGTCTGACCAGATTCGAATCTTTTCCTATCTTTGTTAGCTCCATCTTTTTCCATTTTTCGGTTGGCAACCAACAATGTTTGGTTTTAAGATTACCAACTGCTCAAACATCGGATTAAACGTTAGAAATTACCTGAAATATTTCCAGCCGAAGAACTGCTGTTGGTAATGTTATAATTCATTCTTTGTTGGCTGAATCGGTCCTGCGAAGAGTAGACGCCTGTTGGTCCAATGTTGTCTCGACCGTCATCCGGATCGATTAAGTTTTCTCGGCTAAACGAAGTATTGCTACCGTCAAACATAACTACAGAGCTACTATCGTTCATGGGTACTATTTTAGAACGTTATTGAGCTAGGGCAAACAAGAAGTGCATGTTCGTTTCAATGGCAACAATGACTTTTAGTTTGGACTGCTAATAAAAAGCTTGTTTATCTCTTGTTTAATATCCCACTTTTGAAATAGTTGAAACAATATCACAACTCGTGGGCTCAACGCTACGAAATAGCCCAAACTGAATGATAACCAAGTTGTGTGCATTTGCAGAAATGTAGTTCAGGACAAGTACATCTATCGACTTACCTTCCGGAATTTGTTGAAGAAAACTGTGAGTTCCGATTTCCCATGGTGTTTTTTTGAAATTTAAGACACCCAAACAGTGTGGATTTATAAATAAGAGGTTTGAAGATCAGATGTTCAATATTTAATCATGGCCAAGTCTAGTAAGTATGAAATAAATGACGCTAGAATGAAATTTGTTTCTTTAAAAGCAAATTTTGTATATGCGGTTCAACTTGCGATTAGTTAATTCATATCATGAAACGTATGAGTGTAAATGTTGATTGGTTTGTTCTAAAGTGTACTATATTAGCTTATGACGTGACGAAGCTTTTAAGTTTACGAATAAGTGGTAGCCGGTATAAATAAGAATGGTCCAACAGAAGAAAGGGCTGATAGATGATGCGCGCTTGCCAGTCCTGACACACGAACTGTTGACGAAAACGACTGGAGGTTATCGGAGCGTGCGCCCGTCGCCAGATCACTGCGAGAGAGTTTCCACTCTCATGGTTCTCATTTTGTTAATCTTGCCTCAGCGTTCTGCTGTCAAACGCGTTCTGCGCTTGGACCATTCTGCTCGATTATCTGCCTCCCAAAACGTCACCATGTTGAATTGCTCTGAACTGTGGCGGCGTTCGCTTCGATGACATGTGATTGGTTTGCTTATCGGTGTGTTTATGTTAATTTTTTGTTTCTTGTTTCTTGTCAGACAAGTTGGATTCCCAAAGACCGCATATTTTTAATTTGAATCTTTTCTGGAACTTTAGCTTGATTTTTGTCTGGCATATGTTGATTCTGACACAGTATTATAAAAATAATTTCATTAGACGTCCTCGATGAAACATTAGAAATAGAATTCCACAAAAGAAGATTCGACTTATGCCGTGTGCTTTGATAAAGCATGCATAAGTAAATGAAGAATGCTGTTTCAACGATGTTTATTGATGGTCTTCTGAGTGTAACAAAATGGTAATCGAATTGATGAAATGGTTGAGCATATTATATAATTACTATAGTATTATGTAAACTGCCAAAAAGGAAGAAGAATTGGTAGTGTATTGATTATTAAATATGCGACGTGGGTGCACTTTGAGACTTCCTTGTAAAGTATATTTCGCTTGTAAAATATATTTTTTGGTGCCGATATTTTTCTGCGCTGGAGGCCGGTCGGCTATAATTCTGTCGTCTTATTTTCCTAATGCTTTTGTTCTTTTATTTTTTCTTGAAAATAATAAATTTCTTACGAATGTTTAAAAAAACTTAAATCAACATCGCAAAATCTTCTTTGATAAAACGAAAAAATATATAACATTAAAAATTTATTGATTTTTTTTTTGGTTTCTTGTTAATTTTGATTGTTCGACCGACTGTATTTACCGTAATCTTTTTTGTGCAAGTAATCCAGTATATGAGTTTTTTCTTGAGTTTTTGTCAACAATGAGAACCGGGTAATAGACAGTTTTCTCCGTGAACAATTTTCTCAAGATTTCGAACTTGAAAATCTTGCCTGTGTTTTAACTTACTGCATAATAAATTCAAATTTTTTTGTCGTAGAGGTTGCACGCTTGCTTGAAGCGACAGAGGCTTGGAATTCCAATCCGGCCGGGATCTGTTTTTCTGCAAACAAAAAATTTTCAGCTTCTTGAGACTACTGTCGGGGAGAGTTCTCATGCTTGAAGGACCGAATGCTTGAAAAGTTTCAACCAATCACAATCGCTAAGCCTTCCTATTGGCTAAATGCCTTTCTCATAAAATCGAAGTCAATATTAACAGAAAATGTTGTAAACCAGTGGAAAATAATCAAAAACATTACAAATTGCGGGTTACAACCGCAATATTATTCAGATAGTCTTCAAAATCATAAGAGTTCAAAATCATAAGAATTGTTTAGTCTTGAAAACTCATCTGCTTATTATCTTATCGGTCAGTATTAACACTTATGGCCTGGATTTATTTTCTCACTTTGAGATTTTCACGATTTACTTTGAGATTTTGAATACTCAATTCTGATTGGCTGAAAGTAAGCTAAAATAACTTTCAAGCATTCGGTCCTTCAAGCATGAGGAACGCCACCCTACTGTCTGTCTGTTTCTTTTTGCCGGCTTAGTTCCCATAGCACGGACTCATTTTGAATTTTCTGAACGCCATTTCTAAAGCCCCATTAGTGGAGGTATATGAGTCACCAGTTTTTTTTGCAGATGTTTTGTTGCATATGCTTTTTGAAGTTTGTTTACTCGGCCTCAAAGTTTTCGGTTAATACCTAATCAATTTAGTAGCTTCATATTGCGCCGCATGATGGGTGCGAAACAAGTTCTTTATGCATGTGAGTCTTCTGATAATTACTTCAAATTCAAGTTTCTAAATTCAAGTTTCTCCGTTTTTTGGTCAATGGGTATCTGCTCATAAATTGTTGGCTGTTACCGCTTCGGCTGATCTATTCTGATGCAAATTCAACGTCCGTTTCTCCTGTTCGGGATGTTTTTTGAATTGAGATTAAGATCTTTTGCTAGATCTAGCTTTTCTCGATTTTTTCAAAACTTTTGTCTTGTCAATTTCTGTCTGCTAGTGTGTGATGCTATTTTGTGCTGTATCGGAAGTGGTGCCAAGCTTGGTTTCTGTGTGATAATTTTAGAATTTTGAAATGTCAAATTGATTTCTTTTATTTTATCAATAAAGATTGTTATATTCATCTGGTTTTGCCCACTCTAAATGTCCTTGAACAAAAGAAAAATATCGTTTTCTCTCTTTAGTTTGGTTTTTTCTCGATTTTTGTAGCTTTCAAAAGTTAGGCTCCAGCTTTTTGGGAAAAGTTTAAATTTGCCGTTTCATTTTTATTCAGTTGAAGTGTCTTCCTCTGAGCTAGTTTGTTTTAGCCTCTTTAAATTGAACTATAATAGCTCGATCTTCATAAGTATTTGTCCTGTTAGAAAAAAAACAGACAAGAGGGATTTTTCGATAGTTTCATTTTGTTCGATACTCTGTTTCTTTTTCCAATGGTTTCATCGCTTGTTTTCTTAGCAATTTAATGTAGTGCAGCCAAGCTGACATATGATCTAGAGTCGGTTTGCAAATTATGCACGCATAATTTTTTCAATTTTCGCTTCTAAAAAAATTCGCCAAACAATTTTTAGTGTTCTTTTTTTATTAGATTTTTTTTGCATCGCAAGTGGTGCGAATCTTTTCTTCGCCTCTTTGTGCAAAGATCGCATCGTCCTTGAATCATGATGCTTATTAGTAATATCTGAAGCGGGATCAGGAACCATTGTATTCAAGCTTCTAACGGTTTTGTAATTCTACTCTTCTTTGAATTCACCTTTAGTGTCAAAGTGTTTACAGACTTTAATCAGGCTGAGAATTGCATTACCCTAAATTTTAGAGATTACACTCAGGTATTACTTTGATGTCCACTTTATTGATTCCTGATCTCAATTAGTAGAGATGACAGGCCCTTTGAAACACGCTTTTTTTTATCTACATGAAGCAGAGTTGACCTGGAATTGAGACAAGTTCCATTTCGATGCACCGGGTTGAACTCTTTTCAGCGTACCTCTTTGTCTCCCTGTCTCATTATTGTATCCTTTGTACCGATGGCTGAATGCAATGATTCTGATTTAAAAATATTTTTTTTTTGATTAAATTTATCCGTTGTTGCTCTTTTCAATAAACGACTGACGATTTTAGCGAATATTACCTAAAAATGATGTTGGTTTTGTTTGTTTTTTTTCTTTACTCTTTTAGGAGAGCAATATTTCTAAAAAACAAGATTTCCTAATTGACTCCGCTTTTGACACAAACTTTTTTCCTTTCAATGTTTGGCGTCTGCATTGAATAGCGTTTAGTTTGATAATTGGATTCTCTAGATTACGTTTGGGTTATTTTTAGTTTAACATTTTCTCTGCACTCTTGGTGTATCAATTAATTTTTAACTCGAAGCTGATTGCAAGTCTGCTTACTAGGTCGGTAAAATAAATATAATCGCTGTAGTTCCCAATAGAACAACACAACATCTGCCTGCGCTGTAATAGCTTATCTGATAAAGTCCTCATTGAATTATGCCATCAATTTTTTTTCGATCCAAAACAGGAAGTAGTGAACGTTACTGTATTTGCTTATCTTTCAAAAAGATTACCTGTCAGTCAATATTGATAAATTCAATTGAGGAAATTGTTAATTTGAAGTTTAACTTGAAGCGAAAATGGTACAGTATAGAATACATAAATTATAGATTTCGCGTTAAAGTTATGCATAGTATTATTTCAGTTACTGTATTTACTTTCCATGAACTTTTACTTTTCGATGAACTTGATCTGACAGATCCAGTTTTTTTCTGCCTCTTTACCATATAGTTTCTTTGTTTCGTTAATTCTCGTTGTTTTGTTATCAGCATAGCCTTTTTAGCCTGTTTTTTTTCTCAAAAGTTTGCCTGTTGTGCAGAAAATGTTGGCAGATAGGGTCTTTATTGTGTTTTGAGAGAGATTGGAGAATATAATTATTCACTAAATTCACGATCGATAAAAATTCACTAATTGCTATATACACTTTTTGTCTCAAAACCAAATGTCTTTTCAAACATAGTCCTAGACATAATTGTCTGGGACACAATTGTCCCAACACGTCCTAACTGATATATTTTCAGCATGGCTGCTTTTCATTCCTACTTTGTGTTAATGTACCTGTTTCTTAAAACTTGCGAAGCTAGTGTTTTAGTACGAACCTTATTTTTTTCAACCTAAGTCGCAAATATTGGTGCGTTATTTTTATGGTGCGGCACCACAATAATGGTGGGGCACCTTAACAGCTTTTTGATAGCATGTGCTTTGACATTCGATTAGTAATAAATTAACACAGTTGATACATTTTAATCCTTCAAATTAACCGAAAAAAGCTATTTGTTTCAAACAACATTTCTATGCTAAAAACTTGGTTTCAGAAATTTTCTAACTCAATATACCTCGCAATTTTTTGAAATACATAATTTATATATTATGTGGATTTATGCTTTGCGATTTTTAACATGCAAAGTTAGTGTGAATGCCTTCAGTTTGTTATATTCCAAACTATTTGTTGCAAAATTGAGTCTAAGTGTTTTTTTGGTGCTGAGTGGCGTTGGTAATTTGTTGGCATATGGAGCTTCTTTATTCTTGACTGGTGTTTTTCGGTTGTTAAGCTAGGGTGGCTGATGGGATAGTGCTTGAGACCCAGAATTTTTTAGGTCGCAGATTCGAATCCTACACACAGCCGAGTTTTTGCCCATTCGAGGCTTGTTTCTACTTTTTCTTATTTAAACTTGATAAAGCTTCTTTTTGGTCGTGTTCACGCAAGTGTTTGCAAAGCGCAGCTTCGCTTCTGTGTAATTAATGTCTTAACCACCATGTCATTCTTAATTTGTGTTAATATTGGTTGTGAAACCACTCTAAATTTAAAGGATTAAAAATATATCATGTTTTTGGTTAATGTTTTGTTCTTTCAGTATAACTATATCATACTTGACCACTCTATAAGATTGTCGTATCAGATTGAAACATGAGACTGCCGACCAGTTTGGTTTGCGATATCTGGATGTGTCGATAAACTTTTCCAGACTTTTTTCACCCTTGTGTACAGGTAATGCTAATGCCTTTGGACCCTAAGATTTGGATTTTTAATTCAATACGCATGAAATTGAAAAAATTTTCCGATAAAAATTTAAGGGTTGTAATTTCGATTGTCTGCTTGTTTTGTCTGCTTAGTTGCCACATCACGGATTTATCTTGTGCTGTAGTTGCAAGTATTGGTGATTTACTCCTGTAATTTGTTACTGTTCTAACCCTGTCTGAGTATTTTTTTTGCTTTTATCGGCCTACATAATTTCGGTTGATGTTTATTGGATTAGTCAATTTATTTCGTTTCGTTTGAAGGGAAAAATTGATTAATATGTTGTCCAGGTCGTACTATTTAATGTC